CAGTCATATTACTATCTCAAAAGATAAATTTGTATCTTACACAATATCGGAGGGTATAATGAAAACGGCAAATAAATCACGGATTATGCGTCCTTATCAAAAAATAAGCCTAAAATTGAAGCGAATAGATCTCGTTGAAACTTTGAAAATTTCTCTGCCAGAGATCCAAAATCCAGCCTCGACAAGTCTATTTGCTTTTTCAAATTTGCAAACTGTTCCGGAAGACGAATAATTTGAAATATTTGCCGTGCTCCATGTTGAAGAAAATCCAGGAAAATCCAGGAATTGTTCCACAGATCTAAGTATGAAAGTTAGTTACAAATAATATATATATTCAATAATCTATTATTAATATTCAATATTTTGTAATGGAATTTTTCTGTTTGTAAAATTTATTTGAAAATATACTAAAAATATACAAATGTATATAATTTAAAGTAAAATTATATTATTTTATTTATAGTTTATAAGTTAAATAATCGTTAAATATAATCGTAATAAAGGGTTGTTTAAATATAATGCAGCTTGAAATTGGCATTAATTCTTTGAATATCTTCTTGGTAAGTGTTCTCGCTGTATTGTCAGTGATTGTTCTCGCTACAATTCATATCCAGAGTGAACTAATTTGACTTCGTTTAAAGCTCGTGTGTAAAGAGACTTTTACTTTTAACACAAATCTGCCTAAGAAATATTTGCTGTTATAAAATATATACATATAATGCACTTTCAACAAATATGGCCACCTGCTCTTCGCCTAATAAAATGTATTTGTCGTCAGAATAAATAATGAGATACAATATTACTTTACAATTATAAGAATAATCTAATAGTAAAAAGAACGTCTAATTTAATTTAAAGAATAAAAATATCTTCAAAATAATGTAAAATTTATTTGGCACAATGTCATAAATAAACGCTTTAAGGTCACGTAATAAAAATTTTCCATTTTCATAGAATTGATTACAGTAATATTGTTAATTTCATAAACAAAAAGATTGAAATTAAAACGCTCTGTATATTATTATTTATATTATTAAGCAATTATGTATGATCATATATGTATATGAACGTGCATACGTCATATGCGGTCATAATATACGGCATCCTGGGGTTCACTATAGACGCAAGCGCTGTTGAATATTACGTTGTTAAATTATGAGCACGTTCTGATATAAAGGAGCGTACGAGTGTAAGAGGAGTAGTAGTATACAACGTACGTGTAGAGTGTAGCAAGGCGCATTGTCGCGAGATGAACGCCAGCGTGATCCCGTACTTCCTAGGTCGGTAAGCCATTAACAAGTATAACTACTTGAATCCACGTGCTTACCATTCAATGTTGCATTCGTCTATCCAAACTCCTAAAGAAAAAAACAAAAAAAAACCAAATAAAACAAAATAAAAATAAATTGTCAAGGAAATTGAAATATAATTATATATATCTAGATATTTATCGGTCACTAATTTTTTTAAAAACTTTTTGTAATTTGCTTTAGAGCTGTATTTTTTATTAAATGTATACAAACTTAATTTGAGTCGTGGCGATTTCTGAATAGTTTAATTGAGAGAAGTTTAAAAAATTTTTCTTAAAATTTGATTTAAATTTCGAAAGCAAAAAAGATTAGACAAGAAAGGGAGAGGAAGGGGGGGGGAGAGGAGAGAAAGAAAGAGAGAATATTATATATAATTACAGATTTTAAGGGCTACCAACGCCAATTAAGCTTATCCGTCGATTAACTTCATCATCAGAATAGCCAACAGCGAGACTTAAAAATCTGTCTTTCTAACTTATTCCTGTTAGTAACAGTAAAGAAAAAGTGTTTTGTGTGTGGAGATAATAAATAAAACATTGAAATGTATAAATATATTTGACTATTTTTTACAAATACGTACTTTCGAAATTAGATTAGAGATGATGAGGTTTCAGTTTAGCAGTTGGCAATACTCAAAGTTAATCGGCGAATAAAGTAATTGGTGAAACTGGCCCTAAATGTTGCATTTACAAAAAAATATATCTTTTTAGCGATAAATGCTAGTTATTAATGTGAAATTTAATTAAATTTACTTAGCCGCCTACGTAATCGTCAACGATACGTCGGAATGGACGTTCGGGCCGCAATACTCGTATGATATGAATATCACTTATGTAATAAAACCAGATCCCCACGATCATGTCCAAAAGATACAATTGATCTCTACAGTAAAATGTCGTCCTAAAACATCAGATACTATATTCTGCCATTTATATAATATTACGATATCGGAAATATTCGACAATTACAACATGACGCGGGAAGCACAAACGGAACAAATATTTGAGATTAAATTTAACGAGCACGGCGTGGAAGGCCTGGTGATCGAGCCACCGTCTCGCATGGAAGTCGTGAACGTTCTTCGAAAGATTGCCACTCAGTTTAACGTGATTGTCGATCGGCGAAACATTGACATGTCGCAATTTATGGCCAGGGAGAACTCGACAATGGGCGATTGCGCGGCCGCGTACAAGATCATGCGTGAAGAAACCGAGATTGACACGATCGGGGAAATAAATACTGATTTTCGGCTCAGGATATTGCCATTGATCGACGCGAAACCTGGGACGACTCTCTCGATCGAGAAATCTCGGATGGGATGTATTAATCCACCGCGATATGTCGATTTTTCAAGGGGAATCTTAGATATGGTATGTACATGCTTATAAAGGGTGTCCCAAAATTAACGCAAGATTTGAATTTGCCGCCATTTGTGCAGTAAAGTGTTGGCAACCCAAAAAAAAA